GTTGCCCTTAAATTTGGAAGCATTTTACAATAATTAACACAGTACACAGATGATAGCCTCAATTCAAAGACTGTAACGAGTGGAAAATTTCAACGGAAGTTATTTTGAAATCTCCATCATTGTCTTCACACCTTGGCCCGGTTGAAGTCTGAATGCCTATGTTTCAAACATTTCAAAGTAAACAGAGCCTTTTTTTTTAAAAAAAAAAAAAAGCAAAGTGAAACAAAACAAACAAAACAAAAACATTATTTTGCTTGATGCTTCAGTGGCTGGTCATCCAGTCAGAGGCTCAGAAATCCATATGGAAAAATACAGCTCAGTGCTACTATACTGGATCTTATGTTAGGAATGTTCACATGTGCAGCTTGGGAGTCTTTTCTTCCTTGGTCAATTTCTTAAAATAGGGTTCTTCATCAGTGGCTGAAAAGAGGAGGACTGTACTGAAGTATGATTTTTCCATTACTGTAACTTTTTTTTTCAAAGGAAAGAAACATTTTTATAAATCCCATGCAAAGAAGAACTATACCAGTGATGGCGAACCTTTTAGAGACTGAGTGCCCCAAAACTGGCCCACCCCCTGCCCCGCCCCATTCCACCCCCTGCCCCACCCCCATTCCACCCCATTCTGCCTGCCCGCAGGGCCACTCACCGCCTACAGGGCCCGCCGCAGATCGCCCAGGCAGCCCAGTAGCGCCATGGCAGCCACGCCCTCTGCCAGCACCCCGCAGCATCAACTGTGCACGTTGGGGCATGAGGGCAAAGTCTTGTCTACACTGCCTGGCTGCCATGTCCTTGGCTGAGTTGCTCTGCATGGGCCACCCTCAGGGGCGACTCTCCTCCAGGAGGTTGCTGGTGAGGAAGGGGTCATGGGTGGAGGCAAGGCTGGGGCAACGGCATGTGTGCCCACAGAGAGGGCTCTGAGTGCCGCCTCTGGCACCCGTGCCAAAGGTTCGCCACCACTGAACTATACAATTAGGTTTACATTTAGAATTTCCCTATATAATATTAGTCTTTTTTATCCAAGAATGATAATCCTTAACAGGCAATTGGTCAGAAGGAAGTGTATGTGTCACCATACTAAATTATACAACTATATTTGATACAAACAATATAACAATACAATATGAAACAATTTGTGCTGTTTAAAATAAATGTAATCTGGAATGTTTGGTGAAGAAAAATCCAAACTTTGTCCATTGTAATATATAAAAAGAACAGTGCATTAAAGAGAGAATTATTACATTAATCAGATTAAGGTGATTCTTTGACAATCTCCCTCAACACTCTTCAGATTAAAGGGCACTACTGACTTGAAGAAAAAAAAGATGTTAGCTATTTTTCTCAATTAAAAGGAACCATTTGAAGTTTTATAGTTGTATATGGTAATAATGAAAATTGAATTAAGAAAATGAATACATGTTGCTTATTTCATTAAAATTCTTTCAGAGATTTATTTACTAAATAATACTGAGTAATAACAACAGCAGCAGTAATAACTATGGTCAACCAAAGTTGCAATCTTTTCACAGTTCAGTTGGCTATAAAGGAATTAAGCACAGTTTGTTTTATGCATTGAAATTAACTGCACTGAAAATACTTTTTTTCCCCAAGAAAGCATTGTGGGAGGAACAGTGCTAATGTAGGAAGGATATTAGAAAATTGCAAATAGGGAAAGTTATTGGAGACTGTTAGAGAGAGTAAAGGTAGAGTAGGATTGATAGGATAAATGAAGTTGTGGACCAGATATTGGTGGAAAGAGGATGGAGAGCAGAGTGCTTGTGACTGGAGAAGTGGTACTAGTGCCTATATCATAATAGATCCATAACAGATCCTTTCTTTTGCCATGAGCCACTGCTGCTTTATGAGAGTATGGATTTAATGGCCTGGTAACAGCAGACAGATTGGTGGAGTTCAGGATGTTATGCCTCCATGAATCAATGTAGACAATAGGAGCCAGTTTGGACTCCTTAGACTGAAGTTATTTACTGAGTCCAATGATTGCTATGGTAGGCTGTATCTATTCGAGCAATTGCTATACAGTATTTGGTGGCCAGAGTTCTCAAAAGAATTAAACATCTGAAAAATGCCTGCACTATTTCTCTGTACAGGAAAAGGTAGCATATATTAAAGAACTGGTTCTGGTAATTTGATACGGAGTGCTTCAGCATCTTCTAACCATTTAGAAGGCAGTGAAAAAATTAGGAGGACAAAAAAAAGTGTAGAAGCAGAAAAGAAAAAAAAGATGCAGTAGACTTGTGACTGGGAGGTGGAAGGACAAGCCTCTGAGTAAAAGTAAAGGGTTTCTGGAGTTGGAATCTAGGAGACAATACTTACTAACTGGCTTCTGAGCATTTTCAAGAGCTAAGGTTTGGTATGTAGGAAGTGGGCAGCAGAGTGCAATTAGAGTTGGATTGGAGATGGAAGTTATTGACAGTTGACCATTTTGATGAATGACTCTTGTTTTTTGTCAAGTACATTCCCTTAATGGGTCCGGATAATTTGAAGAGATGATCTGTAATATCGGAAGATAAGTTACATAGAAATAGAAGTGGAAATGGAAGTGGAAAGGATAGTAAGGGATGGCCATCATTGGCACATGGAATATTGGAGTAAAAGAGAATGAAGGAGAAGTGATAGAAATTAAGGTACTGATGAGTAGAGAGGAACATGATGGGGTAAAAGTAAAAAGGAGTGAGCAACTGAGATCCATCCTTACTTCTGTTGCCTCTCCCATAGCTCAGTCTAGGAGACAGTTTATCAAGAAGCTTAGGTTCCAGCTGCTGCTGTTGTTTGATATTTATAATACATCTCTTCTCATAATTTGTATTAGTGTGGATGAGAGTGAATACCAGGTTTGTATTACTGAGAACTAATAGGGGATGCTGATGATTAGAGGTATTATTCTTCAGATAACTGGATATGCCACCTTGTTTTTGAAATTGAGCTCTTAGGACAAGCTGGGAATTGTTGTTATACTGCTTCCCTATTTCATAGTGGCATCTCTATTCAAGCTGTTGGACCTCATCTCAGCTTCCTGATAGAGTTCTCAGAGTTAAGCTTTAGGAAACTTTAATTGCAACCTCTAATTAGCATTTTTTGGGACTGGGAGCAGACACAGCTCATGAATTTATAACCTCTATGGAAATATAAGTTCATTCAAGTTTAGAGAACCCAACACATGCAGGATGCCACAAGTTAAATATGTTTTTTGTTTTAAAAAAAAAAATACTGGAGCAGTTGCAATGTTATTTGAAGGTGGAGGAATTAACTATCCTTGTTAGAATCAGCTGACTTTCTAGTTGCCATGGACGTGACCGATGTTTCACCTTCCTCCTATTTGATTAGCCTTTTGCGGAGGTGATAAAAACCTGGGTTTGGACACTGGTGAATGCATTTTGGAAGACAGGGCAGATGGTGATGTGTTCCTCCTCAATAAGTCATTGCTCAACTTGTTAAGGCTCTTAATTTAGGACTCTGTTTGAAGAGCAAGTCGGCAGTTATGGCTAAGAGGAATTTTGCACAATTTCATCTTGTGTGCTAGTTATGATTTTTCTTAGATCGGGAGGTATATGCCTTTATCATCACATATGCCTTTATCACCTTCTCTTTGTTTATTGCAATGAACTTTGAAGTGCACCTGGGAATTTCAGCTAGCCCAGAATACAGTTTTGGATTATCCCAGGTGTCAGGTGGTTTGCCCATGTCTGTTTTGAAAGCAGTACTAGTTACTAGTTTATTTCTCAGGGTAATTCAAGATGCTGGTAGTCAACCTTAAAGCTGTTCATGGTTTAGCATATGGATATCTCTGGGACTACCTTCTTCCAATAGACTCTGCCCATCCCTTGAGTCCTGAAAGAAAAAGGTCTCCTTGGGGACTGATATTTAAGAAATACTATCTTCAGGGATCCTAAGGTTGGGTGTTTTCAATCACCATTCCCTTTCCATTAAACAGCATTCTCCCTCATATAGATGGGCCCTGAATAACAATTTGTAAATATTGAAGATCTGGTAGTCCAGAAACTTTTTAGGTTGTATTTATCCTTCCTAAACAGTAAACACGTGTATAGATTACAACTGTTCATTGCCATCTGGGTAATTTATACTATGCTATTATTGTGTTCTTAATTTTTAATCTTATTAATATTTCAAGACGTGAAGTTTGCTCGGTATAAGACATTATTGGAAAGACATGTCAACCTATAAAATAAATGAACAAAATAAAGAAAGGCTAAAATGTGGCTAAGTTGTAGTTGTTGAATTTTGTTTAGTAATCTATTTACAATAGAAAATGGTAGAAATTGTGAGAAAATATGTTTTTCAATGTTATACCCATTTTAAAAACTCTAAAATGACATATCGTATATTCCGGTGTATAAGGCGACCTGGCGTATAAGATGACCCCCGACTTTGGCGCCGAGTCGCATGCCTAGAAAGTCATCTTATATGCCGGAAACTACCGTTATTTCCAGCATATAAGATGACTCAGTGTATAAGACGACGCCCGACTTCGGCGTCAATTTTAAAGCTTGCAAAAGTTGTCTTATACACCGGAAAGTACGGGTAACTAATCAAATATTTGTTTGGTTATTTGTTACAAGGTATTTGTTACAGAAATCAGGAAGTGTGCATTTTGTGAATTTCCATTTTATTTTACAAGGCATAGAGGTTTCCCTTAAAAATGACAATGTCAACAATAAAAACAACATCATGGCAAAAATGAATGAGGGTACAGTTATATAAAATAAAGTTTTCTCTCTTTTTTTCAAAACTTTCCATTCTTGTTTATAGTATATTGCATTTTACAGAGATTAACTGAAAGACTGAATATGATGTTTTAAAAAGCAATGTCCAAAGCAGTCTAATTATGTGAAAATGTTTTATATTCATTTGAAATAGTTAGAATCCTAAAGATTACTTCCTGAATTCAACCAAAGCAAGCATTTAGTGGATAATGAGGTAAATATTTGGCTTCCCTCAAAGAGTAGAAAAAATAAACTTACCATAATTGTAGTTACAATTACTGTTCTGTTCTCAAGGGCAGCTGTGTCATTGCCCATTGTAGGCTCATGTTGGATCAAGACTAATTTATCCATGTCATTCCAGTATCCAATCTGTAATAAACAAATACACAAGCTAATTTTCTACTCACTGTTGATGAGGTCAACCATGATAGTTTGTTCAAATGTAGTTTAAATATTGGAACTGACACAATCCACTCCGCCACCACTATACTGTGGTCAATAGTTGGCAAATACTTTATCTCCTGGTTGTCTTTTGGCCCAGCTATATTTTGATGAGTTATTCTTTTGCAAAGTACAAAGAAGCAGATTTTACATAAGCTCAAATTCTATCCTATTAAAACATATTTTTATCTAGACAACTTTCAAGAGTAATTTTAAATTGGTCTCTGCTATGATTCCATGACTGGAATCTATGATTCCATGTACACATTATATCATACAAAATCATGCAAAATCATAGTGATAGCAAATAAAAGTTTATTTCAGATTCCCATTTATATCTGATCTATCTATCTATCTATCTATCTATCTATCTATCTATCTATCTAGGTATAAATTAACTCTGACATAAAACTTTTATTTGCTGTCACTCTGGGAACTAAGCTGTATAATATGCTGTTTAATTCATATGGAGTGTCACTGTCTGCATTGTTTTACTTATGGTTTCAGGGGATAAACATAACTGACTTCTGATACAGTATCATTTTACACGATGGCTCCAATATTTATCTGGGTTTTTCTCATTTGTTTCCTGTCTCTAATGATCCATTACTGGTGCCTCTCCTCTCTTCATTGACAAACAAACACAGAGCTTTTCTTTTTTTGTGCACTTTTATCTCCTTGAATATCTACAAAATGTTATTAATCTGAGAGCTTCATTCCCTCTGAAGTGCTCAGAGATATAAGCCTTCCCTCACAATAGGAAATAAATAAATAATGATAAGGCCATTCTAAATTGTTTATTTAACAGGTGATTATTTCTCCAGTAACCATGAAAAGAACTAGAATTCGGACTTCCAGTTTGCCATCGGCGCCTCCGGATGAATGGAGGTGAACTCCCTCTTCAGCGTCTGATTTCATCCCACTGGGAGATCCTGGAAAGGGTCGAAAGTTGCCCTGTAGGGGCGACGAGCGAGGAGGGGATCCCTGTTTGATCGCGGTAGGGTGGCAGCCCTCCTGCTTGATCTGGGGCAGCTCTCCAAACTGGTGGGGGAAAGACCAGCCATAGCAATATGGCTTGTCATTAAGCTGCTGACAGCTGAAGTCAAAATTACTACCAAGCACCTTTAAAGCAACACGGATGAAACTGGGTGAGATCTGATCTTCTCTTTAAGACTCTAAATATCTTTCTTGCAAAAGCTGCCCTAAGTACTTTTTCCCCTGTGAAGAGAGAGGGAAGGAAATTCCTGCCCCACCCTCTAAAAACAGCGGCGACTGACTACCGAGGGGAAACAAAGCAATTATAAAAACTTTATTCTAATTGGATGCATATACTTTCAAAATTTGGGGGCTAAAAAGTTTTCCTAAAAGTTTTCTTGTTCCTATTTCTACTGGATATGTGATTTTTATCTAAAAAGAAAAGAAATAAACTTTGAAAAGCTATTATAAAAATGGGGGGGGGGGTTTAAAAAGTTTTAAATGGCATCGGTGACATCTTGTGGCAAAGTTTGGTATTACAACTTGTTATTGCCTAAAAGAGACTTGGCTTGAAGCCCAGACTTCAGATAAAACTCTTTCGACCTTGATACCACCTGTGAGAAACTCAGCTTCTGGGCAGCATAATTGACCTGCTTGAACTATGGATGTAAACCTTTACTGACTTTCAGAGTTATATGTGGGGAATTGCTTTCCTATCTCTTTATTTGAGGAACATTGGTTATTATATGAGATGATGAAATACCTTGGACTATAAAATTTTACTTGACAAACAACTTTTATTATAAAGACTACCTATAAACAGGTGAAATAGAGGTCCTGTACCTTGTTATAAAATTATTTTTAACGTCTGATTTTTAAAGTCCTCAACTTAACACATCATTAAAAGAATATGGATGAAGACCAAGAAAAGATCCTTTCCATGTTGAAAGCAATACATGAAACCATTCTTTCAGTTTGTGACAAAATATGACCCAACATAAAAGAACAAGATGCCAGCTTAGATACACAAACCCAAATTTTGACTACAACCAAAGAACTAACAACGCAGAAGAAATGGAAAAATTAAATACTAAGACAGAGGACTCAATTGACCAACAAATACAGTTAATGGAAAATCCAGAAAAGGGAGTAACAACACTAACAATGGGAAAGACTTTCTATATAAATCAGAAGAAATTTGGGAAAGAAGAAGAACAGATTGAATGAAGATAAACATATCAGGACAATCATGGGGAATTGGAATAATAAGGAGATGATTTAATGAATACAAATGGGCTAGCCTTTCCCAAAAAATGGCAACTAAACGGTATCTGTTATTTCAAATAATATATATAATAATAATAAAGTTGGAAGGGACCTTGGAGGTCATCGAGTCCAACCCTCTGCTCAGGCAGGTAACCCTATACCATTTTGGACAAATGGCTGTCCAGTCTCTTCTTAAAAACTTCCAGTGTTGGAGCATTCACCACTTCTGGAGGCAGGTTGTTCCACTGGTTAATTGTTCTAACTGTCAGGAAGTTTCTCCTTAGTTCTAGGTTGCTTCTCTCCTTGATTAGTTTCCATCCGTTGCTTCTTAGTCCATCTGGTGGTGATGCTGTCTAACCCACATTTTTCTATCTTATCAAGTAGTAGGTTGTGATCTACTTTGTCAAATGCCTTACTGAAGTCCAAGTAAATTATACCCACAGCATTCCTCTGGTCCACTAATTTTGTCACATGGTCAAAGAATGCAATCAGATTTGTCTGGCATGATCTGTTTTTGACAAACCCATGTTGGTTTTTAGTAATGACTTGGTTTGCCTCTAGGTGTTCGCTGATTCATTGTTTGATTATCTTTTCCAGAATCTTCCCAGGTATTGAGGTCAGGCTGATAGATCTGTAATTTCCTGGATCCACCCCCCCTTTTTTGAAGATGGGAACTACATCGGCTCTTTTCCAGTCCTCTGGTAGTTCCCCAGTGCTCCAGGATCTTTGAAAAATATAGTTCAGTGGTTCTGAGATCACATCTGCCAGTTCCTTGAGAACCTTGGGGTGTAATCCATCTGGTCCTGGTGATTTTTAATTCGTCTAGGCTGGACAGGTGCTCACTTACCATTTTCTTGCCTATCTTAACTTGTGTTTCTATTCTGTTTTTTATGGCACTATTTTAGATAAGTTGGTCTGTAAAAGGAAAAGTTCCTTTTACATTACATTTTACCAATGAAGGAGAATAATTGAAGATCAGGGTTGAAATGAAGGGTCCTTGGTGCTTTCTGAGCTTGCTTGTTTTCTTGCAAACATGACTAGCACTGATGATGTTACCTAGTTAGAGTAATGAAACAAGCAAACTCAGAGAGCACTAAGGACCTTTCGCAATACATTTTAAATCTCAAGCCATAGCTTCGCTCCTCCCTGGATAATTATCAGTTAAAACAGAGAGGTGGGAGAGCCCAGCCAGCTGTAAATACAACTTTAACTGTAAATAGCTTTGCTAACTTGCCACATAATGTGGTTGAAAAAAAAAGCAGATACTACTTGTTCTCAAGAGATGTTTGGCACAATGTCTTTCATCAAATTCAAGGACATTAGAGAAAGGTGTACAGGAGAGTATTAACAAAACCCAAGCCAGAAATATAATAACAGCCCTGTGAAAAGTTTTTTAAAAAACTGAGATGGATTCAGCTCAATCCATGCAATTTTAGTATAGATTTGCTTTGTAATATTTAGTGTACTGGGATTCTAGTTATTATATCATCTTCATTTAAAAATAATGTCTATTTTTAATTATAAAATTGAATGTATATATTTTAGTTTAAGGAACTGGCTGTAATTGATAATATTTTCTTTTGATTTTCACACAGGTGAAAAAATATGCCCTCTTCTCCTATGCAATGTTCTAAAAGGGGGAATAAAACAAACAGACATCACTTGGTGTATGAAAAATAGGATGATGTAAACTGGGCAGACAGATTAGGAATTTAATTGCAGAAATGAAAACGTGAACCACTGTGAATGTTTTTTTTTTAAAGATATTAAAAAGTTAGGTGATAAAAACGTGTGCGTTTTCTCCTGCCCTTAAATGTTCTGATGCATGAGAAGAAAAGGAATGTCCTAAATTGAAATTGCTGAAGGAACGATAAATCATAGTACATAAACCATAGGAAGCAAGGATATTTCTTGGCACTAAAATTAAAAGCCTATAACTTTTTTTTTTTCTGATGACCTATCCTTGTATAGAACATTGATGTCAGAAATGAAGTATTGGGCTTTGGAGGACACCGATTCTAAATGGTTGATGTTTGACTTCAACTTTTACATCAGGCAACCATCAACAAAGTATATAACCAAATGAAAAGGGATTACTATATGTTAAGTCACAAGTATAGAACATATTTGAAAAATAAGAGGAAACTCAGTTTCTTGAGTTTTAGCAAATTGCAAATTGGTCAAGTGGTTGAGTCTCTAGCTAGAAGTTCTGAATTCTAGTCCTTGTCTTAGGCCTGAAAGCAGCTGGGGCCCAAACACTCTCTGTCCAACCAACCCACCTCACAGGGTTGTTGTGGGGAAAATAGGAGGAGGAAGATGTGTTGGATATGTTCACTGCCTTGAACTTTTTGTAATAATAATAAAGGTGAGATACAAATAAACAAAGTAATCTCCATGAGCACATTACATCTGTCACCTCTTATTGGACACTAATTACAAATGAAACGAGAGAGCAAATACTCTTAATATTCTAGATGTTTTATTCTGAAACTTCTTATTCAAAAATAAATAAATAAAGGAAATAAGTTCATTGAAACATTTGAATTGTCCAAAAGTGTTTATGTAATGAGAACAAGCTAACCAGCTATTTTAATTCCAGGTTCCTTTATTTTTCTTTGTATTTCTAACTTAAACCTTGTTTTTTTTTACCATTATTATGAAAACAAAAAGCCCAGCAAACAAAGAAGTTTGCTGTTATGACAGAAAACAATGCTGTGCCTTGTCATATGAAATATCGGATGCTTATATTCTAATAACAGAGTATTATTAAAAAATGGGGGATACTGCAAACATAATTTGATTTATTAGGTAAACCGAGTTTTAGTAACAATTTCTTTAGTCATGCAGACACATAGGGATGAACTAAACAAATAATACACAATTAAAACATACTGTACCTTTCGAGGACCAGTGCTCTTCAGTTCAAATACATCCATCGAATAGTTGACTCTGCGACCGTAGTGGTCAAATTGAACATTTCCAGTCAGTCCCTGTATTCGAACCTTCAAATTGGAAATCAAATTAAAATATGGATTAGTGATAAAGTGCTCATTCATTAGAAGATGTTGTATAGAAGTAAACCTTGTCCACAGGATTGTTCATTAAGGGACATGTTAATTGTTTACCCAAATTCATTTTTCTACCCCTAGATTCTCTCCAAAGTTTTAATAAAATTAAAGAAGAGTTTAGCAATCTCTGTGTACTTTTGGTGTTTAACACTTTTTCTTCAAAAATCTTTATAAGGACATATCCATCCCACCCCATCCCATTCTGGAGTCTGAGTTTAGACTGAATCTAAAGCAGCAGATGTAAATGCCAGGTCTTTATCAGTTTTCTGTCCTGGAAATGTTTAAGTGAAGGATAGTCAGTGCACAGTCCATGGATTATATATAGCCAGTTTTTAAAATCACCTTTATAGTGTCTCAGGATGAAAATTCAATAGCAAATTTCTGTATGTAAATAAAGACTAGCAGTTTCTGTACGTAAATAAAGACCAAAGTGAAAAGTGCCAAATGCCCAAATATCTCATTGTTTTGCAGCACTCAGTTGTCTACAACAAGGGTCCCCAAACCCCAGTCTGTGGACCAGTACCAGGCTGTGGCATGCCAGCAACTGGTCCACACAAACAAGCAAAGCCTCATCCATGGGATGCAGGCAGCACACAAAACCACGCCCCCTCCGGTCCGCAGAAAAACCTCTCTCCACGTAACCAGTCCCTGGTGCCCAAAAGGTTGGAGACCTCTGGTCTACAATATTTGACAATACAGTATTTGATTGCTACATCATACTGGCTAATGATGTAAAATAGGAGGGAGAAAAGAACAATATAAAAAATTTCTCAAGAAAATGAACTTTTTATAGTCTCTTCAGGGTTTTTTTTTCTTCTCCTTGACCTAACCAATTCTCTGTGAAAAGAAAGCCTAAAAACCCCTCAGTCTGGATTTGGAAATGTTTAACTCTCTATATTCATCAGAATATGGAGATCTCTGTCAGTTGAAAAATTCTTCTGTTTTATTTAATTCTTAAATGGTATACTAAAGCAGAAAAAAACAGAGATTATTTAGAATTGTGAATTATCACAAAAGTTAAATAAATCTTCAGGGTGGCAGAAATGTATTTGACATGCAGCACTGAAAAACATAAAATAATTATTCGATAAAAATATAAACCTTTTAATTTCTTTTATCATTGTGATGTAAAATAAGCTCATGTACATTTTCTGCATTCATCTCTCTCAGCAATAAATTTTTTTTACTCATAACTTTGAAAAAAAACCCTGGCTTCCATTCAACATGAAATGGATTAATATTGCCCACTCCAACAAAATGTTATCCTATCTTTTTATTTAGATTTATATCCCCCACTTCCTTGAGAAGTTCAAGGAGATATACAAATCAGTCTCATTCAGATTTTCTCTAATGAGAACTCCTCAAATAGGGTTGAGCTAAAAAAGCATAGCTGGAACAATCATACAGTGGATTACTACAGCTTAGAATGAATCTTCCAGAATTAACATTCTTTGCACTCCAGGAAATTTCATCTGAATGACAAATGCAAAATGAACGGGGGCAGCTGCAAGAACTGACCCTTTTGTCAAAATGAAAAAAGCAACATTAATTCATTCACGAAAGAATTGGCGTTTGTGCTGCATTGTTGTTTTATCCATTGGTGCTGCCAGCCCCCCCCCCATTTCATTCTGTTTGTATCAGTGGTGAAAATGTATTTATTTATTTTATTTATTAAATTTGTTTGCTACCTATCTCTGTTCAGGTTGCTTATTTCCTAGTTTTAAAAACACAGGAGATGAAAAGAACAACAACATTGCCCAACATGGCCTAATTGCCTTTCATAACAGGTCATGAGTAGCTTTTGTTGCCAAATTTCCTTAGATAGTTGCATATTTCAGAACACACACACACACATTTATACAAGGTGAAGGAGAGCACCATTAATCTGAATTTCTTAAAAGCTGTTAATGAACAGCTTTGGTGTATGACTGACCTAGAGGCAAACAATTGTACTTGAACCCAAAATGTCTTTCAGCTGCTTATTTTCCATTTTCAATTGTGAATGTTCATTAATTCATTGGTCTAAGGGCAAATGACATAACAATTGAAAAACAAACTAAGTATATTACAGAATACATAAATACAGGTAGTCCTCAACTTATGACCTCGATTGAGCCCAAAATTTCTGTTGCTAAGCGAGACATTTGCTAAGTGAATTTTGCCCTATTTTATGACCTTGCCACAGTTGTTAAGTGAATAACAATGCAGTTGTTAATTTAGTAATATGATTGTTAAGTGATTCTGGCTTCCCCATTGACTTTGCTTGTCAGAAGGTCACAAAAGGTGATTACATGATCCTGCAATTGTCATAAATATGAGTCAGTTGCTAGACAACACGTGACCAGGGGGGTGCTGCAACAGTTGAATGTAAAATGGTCATAATTCACTTATTTCAGTGCCGCTGTAACTTCGAAAGTTCAGTAAATGAACAATTGTAAGTTGAGAGCTACCCGTATAAAAGAAATATGTCCATGTAATGCCACTGCTCCAAGAGCAGGACTAGCTCCCATCAGCTTCTGGGTAAAATTTAAGGTGTTGGTAGACACTTTTAAAGCCCTACATGGCATGGGACCCAATTACTTGCAACATTGCCTATCTCCAATAGTTTCTGCCCATTGTACTAAATCTGGCAGGGTACTATTCTCTGTGTCCCCTTAGTGAAACAATGTTGCCTGGGGGGGGGGGGAAGAGAACCTCAGAAGCAGGTTTTTTCTGTCCTACCATCTGCCTTATGGAACAGCCTCTTCCCCCCTGTTGTCTCAACCAAATGATGAAGACCTGGCTTTTCCCACAGGCTCTGCGATCAGGATATTGATGGAGCTGCACCAGGTCTTTGGTGGATGAATGTACATTTTATCAGGGTTTCAACGTGGATTATTGTTTTAAATGGTCTTTTATATTGCAATCTTATTGGGGTTTAATTTTGTTCTCAACCCAGACTTCCTTCTAATATATAGACAGTTAAATAAATTTATTTCATTTATTAATTAAATATAACACAGTAATACAATAACTGTTTGGCAGTTTAAATGTTTGTAATAATTTCCAACAGAGCAGCTGCCACAACAACCAAGTAGATGTAAATCTTACAAGAACCACACCTGTTTTAGTGTTCTCTCCATGTCAAGTCCTTGGCTCCATGGTGCAGCTGGATTTGCAAGACAATCTCCAGCATTTCCTCTTCGAGAAATATCTATTTTCTGCTTTCGAAGATTTCGGAAAGTCTCAGCCATCACAAGTACTCCATCATAAGTCAGAGCAGAGGTATACTAATCAGATAGAAAAATTGTAAATCAATTATACTTAGTATTACAATTATGTTCAAAAATAAATCTATTAAACCTTTGATTTCTCAATTGACAAGCATTAGTTGAGCAAGCTGAGAAAGATTTCTTAGTAAACAAGGATGATAAGATCACCACATTCTTAGGACATTAATATGAAGTTTAATTCTGAAGTTATGTTGTTTAAAAGGCTACAAAAAGTTACTTTAGAAATTACAAAAGGACTAGAATAAAATGGAAAGTTGGACTTCCCATAAAATGTATTTTTGGTCAGATAAGATTGGATCCAAGAGGAAAGAGTCAATCCTTTCAAGAAGGCAAAGCCAATAATATGACTTTATGACCTGTCCGTGAAAGTTGCAATAGTTGATTTTGAACATAACAAAACTGATAGAAGTTGCATAACAACCAACTATGACTGGATAAAGTAAAAAAATCAGAATAATTATAAAGAAATAAGATATTTGGGAATTCTTAATTAAATAGCCCATAGGGAACAACACATACAATAGCAAAACTCTTTTAAACTCAGTTCACTAATGATTAAATAAGTTTCACCATAACTGGAAAGAGTTGTTTCACTCAATCTCAAAAAGGACAACAGAGGGAATATCTGTATTCAGGGTTGAACTGTGGAGTCCTTGTGCTCTCTAAGCTAAGCCCTAAGCTTGGTTATTTGCTTACAGACATTTCACTACCCACCTATGCAACATCATAATTTGTTTCTTATTATGATTCAACCTCCAAGTGAAGAATGATAACATTCTGGATAAGGAATGGAATGTATCAGTCCCTGTAACAAGCCTTAGAATGATTATCAAAGACATCCTTGACTAAACTCCATCACATCTATAACCAGAAGAACTAAGACTAATATTACCACCAAAATTATATTTATCTCAATGCTCTCAGCTTGGTCAACAGTGGGATAAAAGCCCCAGGCTGGGGAAAAACAAAATATGAAGATTAAGTAGAAGGGGTAGGGGAACCTGATTAACACATAAACTGATTAACACATAAAAGTCAACAGATCTTCACAATATTAGGCAGTTACTTATGTTTGTAGTATGGTTGAAGTCAAGGTTATTTCAGATTTTAATGTAGAATAGAACCTTAGGAGGAGTTTCTGATCCTGGGTATTCTCTCTGGTCCAGTTTCTTCCACCGTTGCGTGAGTTTAGAAACCATAGGTGTATTGAAGTCCACTAACTGAAACCCTGTGATGTTGGCTCCTCCGTGCATAAATCTCTCCAGGGAAATATCTTTGAATCCCTATGAAAATAAATTTCCATCATATTGTACTTTCATACAGCATATCATTAAAACTTTTTCACTGGTATTTAGTCATTACAACAGTTAAGTTAAAAACTTATATTTTATTATTCAACTATTTTAATCTGATCTTTAGGTGTGTAAAATGAATATAATTGTTCCATTTTCTAATACAACATAATGCATTTATTTATATGTAGCATTACCCCCTTAGAGGCCACCAAAGCCCAGGAGCTCCCAGCCCCACTACCCTCCGTCATGCTCTGTAGCTGTGCTCTTAAGGTGTTAGTGCAGTGTCTTCTCTAGCAGAAGCTCACACAAAGTGAGAAGGTGGCAGACTTTCATCGTCAGGCTGGGGGGGGGGGACTTTCAGGAACAAAGATGAGCAGCCCCTAGCCCTGATAGTCAATGCGTGATGGTGTTTAACAGCCCCAGGCAGTCATAGCAGAAATAGTCAATGATTTCACAGTGACTGTTTGGAAACAAGTGGGGTGGGGAAAAACCCAGCTCCAGGCAGCGATAGGAACACGAACGAAGGTAGTCAGTGTTCTGCAGTAACAGCTCAACCTGCAAGGGCAACTCCCCACAATGTCTTTAACTTGCTCAAGTAACAATAATCAAAGTTTGGATGGCCGGTAGTCTCCAAAGCAGTAACGACCAGCCTCTCCTCTTCTGTCGTCGCTCGCAGTCTCAGGTCTTGTTGGTGTCAAACCCCCCCCCTTTATTCTTAAAATCTGAATTTAGCAACCCCAGCAACTTTCTCTCTCCTCACTCTCTCTCTTGCTTCTGCTTGGGATATCCCCCCTGTGAAAGAAAGCAGTAAAATTCCACCTTCTCACACTCTCTCACTCTCTCCTTCCCTCTCCTTCACAGAAAGGGATTGGCTAAAACCTCAAATCCCTCTTCGACTTCACTTGGTCTCTCTCCGACAATAGCCACAGCAACCACCCCCACCCCCTTTCTTTCCTCCTTTTTCTTTCCTTCTGCCCGATCCACACCTGCCGTGCCCAAAACCGGCAGCAGCTGACCAAGCTTCCCTCTCCCCAGCCAGGCTCCTGCAAAGCCTTTCAGCCAGCCCTGCTACACATATATACTTTGTATAATTGTATACTGATATAATTCCAGAGCTGGCTCCACATTGACTCATATTTAACACAGACTATTGAAAATAACCAGTTTCATTGCTTTTATTTTTCCCTTGAAGGCATCCCTGAGGCCATGAAATCTTTCTTAGATCTCTCCTCTAGGGATAGAGAGAAAAGTTTGTATAGTATTCATATATTCTCGCATAGTCACTGCAAAAACTTTTGTGGCATTTTTTCCCCCTGATCTTGGAATTCTCAGGCTTAAAAATGGGACAAAATATGGTGTTCAGCCCTTGTCCCATACTTGTCACAAACTGCCTAGTGTACATCAATTTCTTGTTGTAGGCTAGTATCCTGGTTTTAATGGGAGTGAAGCAAACTACACGAAGGATGAAAAACAGATTATTCTTTCTTGCTTAGTATGGACAGGGAGATTTGGGCTCTGTCAGATACTCAATAATTGGCCTTTTCCATTGCAAGCAGTCTTATTTCGGCCCAGCAGTATTGGAATTGCCAATACAAACACAAATATATAAAAATAAAATTATTATACTAGAACTATCTAATTAAGTATAAATATTTGAGAATGAGTTCACAGTGGAAAAAATAATAATGTACACTATATCTTATACTAATAGCTGCAGAAAATAATTACTAACCTTTTTAACAAACTTTTCTTTATTAATCTGATTTGCATAGACAAGTTAACATTGCATAAACAATGTCAACTTTATTGCAATGTATCTTATTATTTTTTTTAGAAGCAATATGATAAAGAGGAGAGAGAAAATTGCCAACAGTGAGATGCAATGATTTTATTCTATCAATAAATTGACAATAACTTTTTAATTCTTAGTATCACATTTAAAAATGCATCATATATAAAATAGTAACATTGTCAGTAATTGGATTATTTCAAAATGTATTACTGATATTCTCTTTACTGATCATATCATTCATTTTTATTTTACAATCATACATTATGTTGATATAGGGAGTAACTCATTCATGTATAAAACAACCTTTGAAAATATAAAAGTGAAAAAAAATCAGAGAACACTTTTTTTCATTAATCATTATCCAGATATGTTCTTGGGATACTGTACAATAGTATGTTTTCTAGTTATTTATTTCTATTTATTTATTTTCTATTTATTTATTTAATGTATCATCTTTATTTAATATTTATTTAAGTCAACTTGAGAGTAAGTTCAATAATTTATTTTTTATTGCTTTCATTTAACTTCTAAATTTTTGAAATTTAGTTTCTTAAAATGAAATACAGTATATAAATTACCTATTTAACAGTAGCAAATAATTGTAAAATATTCATTTTTGCTTTTTTCAGGAAAAGTTGGCATTTCTGTAAAGAAATAGATAGATTTTGTTTTTCTTTTCTTTTACCTGTTATGGGATCTATATTTTGTTATGGTAGATCAGGACAGTTTATTGTTATAATTAAAATTAATGGGATTGCACTTGTGTAACATTTATACATATACATTCAAGGTGGTATATAATTTACATAAAACCTAGTAGATGTTATATCAACACACACATACTCATTCATTCATTCATTCATTCATTCATTCATTCATAGTACTCATTGTCAATCGCTGGGGAAATCAGGAGATTCAGGCAGTTTGAATGGGTATAAAGATTTATTGCAAGCTTAAGCTCTCTACAAGAATCTGAGCTACTAGGGGTCAAGGGAAATGAGTGGGAATTAAGAAGGCATGGAAGGTGATCTGGCCTTAGATCTCTTGTAGATGCTCAGGGACTCATGACTGAAGATGCGTCCCTTGTGCTCAACCTGATCATCTTCTACACTCAAAGTCAGCAGGAGAGTTGACGGACCATTATAATACAAATCCTGTTCCTTTTGAACATGGACTATGCAGGTACAAAGGGAGGAGGGTGTGGAAATTGCATTGCAACACTCTTTGCTATCTTGCGTATCTCTACCATCATCACTAGATGGAAGGAATGCACTGCATGGCCTTTCCTTGAGATATGGTCACAAGGACTAGTGATAAAGAGACAAATTTCAGGGAGGAAAGCTAAACAGAGCCAAATCAAAATATGGTTTTAATGTATTAGCGCTGCATTAGATGAAGCCAGGAATTTCAGCTCAAAGTTAACTATCAGATTTCAATTTTCATCACTGAATCAACACCATATTTTCCTTTTCTGTGGTTAATTATCATTTAACTAGCTTGGTATGAAATTAACTATATAAAGGGATTCTTACCAGATTTGCAAGAATGTAATGATAGCCTTTAACATGTTTTCCAACACTCACAATCTGTAGAAAGATGGGGTAGAAAAGAGAAAGCAATGAACGGTATACTATTCAAAGGAATAGTTATTACTTATAATATGTTGATGTTATTGTACACCTTCATCAAAGATAGTTTAAACATTTGAATGCTTAAATAATGGATATGAAAATATGAGAATACACACTTGGCTTTTTAAACTACCTTTCTCTGTGTGTGTATGTGTGTGGGTGTGTATGTGTGTGAGAGAGAGAGAGAGAGAGAGAGAGGGAGGAGAGAGGGAGAGAGAGAGAGAGAGAGAGAGAGAGAGAGAGAGAGAGAGAGGGAGAGAGGGAGGGAGAGGGATTGGGAAAATGCTGTTGACATATCCCCTAACTTCAACAAAGCATTCAACAAAGTGCCTCATTAATAAAATTATAAGTTGTAGGGTAGACGATAAAAAGATGGATTTATTTGGCTAAATGATCTCTCCCAGTCTTGAGCACTGAAGACTAGTTTCACATCTACTTAGAAAGCAATATCAAATGAGATGGAACAAGGCTTAGTCCCAGGCCTTGTGTTTATCAACATTCTTATAGATAATGGGGTTGAGGAGTGGCTTTTAGAACAGAGGTCCCCAACCTTTTGGGCACCAGAGACCGGTCATGTGGAGAGAGGTTTTTCTCAGAGGGGGTGTGGTTTTGTGTGCTGCCTGCATCCAGCAGATGGGGCTTTGCTTGTTTGTGCAGCCCAATTGCTGGCATCATAAATCCACGGACCGGGGTTTGGGGATCCCTGCTTTAGAAGACAAAGGAAAGATTCAATCTGAGAAATGGAGCAATGGGTTAAAATGAAAAGGATAGAGTATAACATCAAGAAATGCATTTCTCCTGTATAAAGGATATGGAGACCTGATAGTGGGATATAGGCAAAGGATCTGAATATCTAGTATATCACAAGCTGAACAGGAGCAACAATGAAATAGTATAAAAGTCAAATGCTATTTTCAGTTTCATTGAGGGACATATATAATCCATATCAGAGAAATAGCAATAGCACTTAGAGTTATATACCACTTCACACTGTTTTACAACCCTCTCTAAACAGAGTCAGCACATTGCCCCCAACAATCTGGGTCCTTGTTTTACTGACCTCAGAAGGATGGGAGGCTGAGTCAACCTTAAGCCAGTGATAATCGAACTGCCAAACTGCAGGCAGTCAGCAGTCAGCAGAAGTAGCCTGCAGTACTGCATTCTAACCACTGCGCCACCACGGCTCTTTAGGAAGCAATTGTCCTATTTAACTCTGCATTAATCAGGCCTTACTTAGAATATTGCATCCATTTCTATACATTATTGTCCTAGAGCGAGGTCAGAGGAGAGCTACCAAGATGGTAAGTGGACTGGAAATCAAGTCTTATAAGGAATGGTCAGAGGAATTGGGTAAATTTAGCTTGCCAAATGGAAAGTTGAAGGAAGATAAAATAATAACCTCCAATCATCTAAAGGCTTGTCAGACAGAGAAGTGCTTCTATGCTGTTGTAGAATGACAGGGACAGAACCAATGGACTGAAGGGCAGAGAAGTAAAATCAGTTTACATATTTTTAAGAATAATATCAGAATACGTCTTACACGGAAGCCTTATGAATTGGTATATTCCCATTCACTGGAAATCTTCAAACAGAGGCTGGATAATCTCTTGTCAAAAGGTTTTAATGTATCTTGCACTAAGCAGATAACTGAAGTACATTATGACCTTTGGATCACTTTGAGTTCTGTGATTCTGTAATTCGGTGAATTAAAAAATCCCCACAAAGGCTTCCAAATAGGGGGTTGATAAACTGCAGACAACCACTAGATAGTAAAAACAAATTAGAGTTCTCTTTATCTCTGTGCTGCCATGTGGCAGCTGTACAACTCTTTGCAACTCAAGACTTGGTAGTCATATTCCCCACGCTCTTTGAGAAGAAACAGAATTTACAGTGTAAATCTTGCAATGGAAAGGAAATTGAATTGAATGACTTGGCTTTTCCTTTCTAATAAATTCCATCATTTAATTTTTAAAGGCTTCTTTTTAAAATATATTGGTTGTAGACTGCACTGAGGGTGTATGTTTTTATAACGATGTATGCAGCTTTTAAATACAGAAGCAAATCAAGATGAATATCTCTTTAAGTCAAGTGTTCATATCTTGCTCAAAATAGTGCATTCCCTTGGTATCATGAAACATTTTTCTCATTTAACTTTGCCTCTTTGCCCATGTTTAAGATAAACTTTTTCTGAAAGCTACAGCTCCCCATATTAAATAATGATTATGATATGGAGGAGTCTGTGACAGAATTCTGTAACAATCCAGAGATGAGAAGGAAAAACACCATAGGTTTCTCCATCTTCTGCAGTGATGCTTACATAATATGATAATGAAATGTTAGCAGCCCCAAAACGTAGCTCAGAAAAATCTAGCAACATACAGTAATTATTGACACTGTTAAATGTAAAGCAGTGTGGAAGGGTCTAACAAATTAAACAAAAATGGGACTGAAGTGCCAATATTGCAGCAAAGCAGCAATATAAATTTCTAAGATATGACATTTGTATGCATCACCTGAAGCAAGGATAAATCTTCCACAAGACCATCTACAAAATATTTTAAGAGTCTCTGAGCAGAGAAGAAGGGGAAAAAAAAAGACGATTCTCCAAGCACTGGCAAATGTTCAGTACAGCTGCAATTGCACTGAAGCGTGTCTTTAGAAAAATACTTTGTGATAGAACGGGTTCTAGAGATTCACTAAAAGGGGCAATTGACACTGAGATTTTCTTTCTAGGAGGAAAAGCAAGAGCTATGAGTTGAAGAAAATCAGCAGTGCATGCCACATTGGACGATGTGCAGTTTGTCTCAAATGTAGAAGCACAACAAAAAATTACAACTATCACAAAAGCATGGCGTTATGCAGAGTATATGAAAAATGTATCAAAAAACACAAAGAAAGATTTTCCTGATTTCCCCCCCCATGATATTGTGCTCTTTTTGATTTCTGCTTTTCACAACGAAGTTCTAAGAAAAGTGTGCCTGCATTCACTACGAGAGATTCTATAACCTCCTGTCAAGATTTAAATATCTCAACAATCTATCCTGATTTTGTGTCGCTACATGCGGACACTTAAAGTAGGAATCAATACGAAAAACCAGTACTTCTCTCTTGATCTTGGTGCACTATCGGAGATAGATCGTAAGTATCATTTAGAGAAGATCAATTACAATAGAGCTGGAGGGGACCTTGGAGGTCTTCTAATCCAACCCCCTGCTCAAGCAGGAGACCATGTACCATTTCAGACAAGTGGCTGTCCAGTCTCTTCTTAAAAACCTGCAGTGATGAAGCACTCACAACTTCTGAAGGCAAGCTGTTCCAATGGTTAATTGTCCCCACTCTTAGGAAGTTTCTCCTTAATTCCAGGTTGCTTCTCTCCTTATTTTCCATCTGTTGTTTCTTGTTTTGCCTTCTGGTGCTTTGGAAAATAAGATGACCACCTTTTCTTTGTGGCAGCCCCTCAAATACTGGAATACTGCTATCATATCCCCCTTAGTCCTTCTTTTCTCGAAAGTGGCCATATCCAGTTCCTGCAACCGTTCTTCATATGTTTTAGTCTCCATGCTTTTAATCATTTTAGTTGCTCTTCTCTGCACTTTTTCCAAAGTCTCAACATCTTTTTTGTAATGTGGTGACCAAATCTGGATGCAATATTCCAAAAGTGGCCTTACTAAGATTTTTTAAAGTGGTACTAATACTTCATGTGATTCATGTGATCAACAACAACTTCTTAAAAATTTAAAACATTGCAATAATTCCTACTGTAAACGATTGTTACAAATACAACAGATTAACAAAGTTGGCCTATATTGTCAACATCAACATTCCACCAATGGTAGTGATAGTCATGGAAGTGGGAAGGTGGAAATATGAGAGTAACAGTTTTGAAATCTGAATTAAGAGTTATGTATTAAAAATTCATAGCTTTTTCTCTTAGTCACTGTACCTCTCTGGCATTTCAATCTATAGCAAATTGGTATATTAGTATCCATAACATGTCAGAATAATTTATTTCTTATTGTCAATAATTGAATAAACGACTGAGAATTCTGTGAGGCTACACAGGACCAACATAGGCAGATGTTCATCACAACACAGGCAGATGTTCATCTCTTGAGGTCATTCAAGATAACCTTCACCCTAAAACCTTTTTCACTCCAATGCAGAGGCATTCTTTTTCTGACATACACGTCACAATTTTCTATGTAAGTTGTTCTTACATATATTTTTTTTATCTTCCTAGCTACCTATCTAACCCTCCATCTCCTCCACTACAATGCAAAAAATGAGAAAGTAAGTGAATTTTTAATATTAACTTTGAAAATGGTCATGTTTTATCAAATTCCCTGAAATCAATATGGCCTAAAATGGGAATAAATAAATAAATGGCCAACTCCTAAGCAGTGGTGGGATTCAAATATGTGAACAACTAGTTCTCTGTGTGGATGCCACTTCCGGAAGTCCATTCTGAGCCTGGGCAGCAAAAAATTAGCTACTGGTTCTACCAAAGTGGTGTGAACCGGCTGAATCCCACCACTGCTCCTAAGTCATAAAATCTTCTTTGCAACCATGCTCAGAATTTTATTTCCAAAGTTGGTATATCTTTTATCTCCCTCTTTATCTAGTCATTGTAGGCAGCAAAAGCTAGGATTGGCTTTATGAAGTGGTGTTAAGCTGACCAGCAGGACTGGCTGAAACTCTACTTATTCACCCAGTTTTCTTCGGACAAATGTACTTTAGTAAAGCATTGCCTAACCTACATTTTGGCAAGTGAATTAGGGAAGAAGAGATAATCTTTATAAAAGTTTGTCTTATAGAAAGAACACAAATGCAAATCTGCACAATAAAGTTTTCAATAAAAAAATCTGTTTCTTAATAGAAATATTTTAATTTAGGGGGATGTTTTTCAAATCCACAGTAAGGGATCAAATGATAATCCAGCATATCTCAATATTAAC